CCCGGGTTGGGCTCTGAGGGATTCAGAGCCCCACTCCCTTCTCAGCTGGCGGGACAGTGACCCTCAGATCCAGGATCGCCCATGCCCCGTGCTCCCCACAAACACGTCGCTCCCTGCAACATCTCTCTCTCTCTCTCTCTCTCTCTCTCTCTCTGTGCTTCTCTGTCTCTCATATACACACAAATACACACATATTAACAAATAATGCATTATAGTCAGAGAAGTATTTAAATTAATATCAAAGGACAGTAATGTCATTAAATCTAAGCAAAAGGTATCTCCAGGAAGAAACTAATTTTGACTCAATTTCAGAGAATAAAAGTACTTAGAGTGAGAGATGGAAAAGGGAGGGGGAAGAGAGGAAACTCTTAACAAAAATTGGGAACATTAGACATAAAGAAAGAGATGATCTCAGTCTAAAAAAGGCACTGATGAATACATAATTATTTAACTGGCAGGGTACAGTGGCAAAGTCATACAGACGGAAGTGACACACTATGACACAATAAAATTATTAATAAATGGACTAATTCAGCAAGGCATATAACATACTGAAATAATCTTGAGTTGATAAGTGCTATTAGAGATCTAGATAGGAAATTTAGATTTTAGATTTAAAAAACACTAAAAGGCTTTGCTTCGTATATCTTACTAAATTAATGAAAATATTGGGAAGGTACACTATAACTTGTTGACTCCATACTTAGTTAGTGGTAGAGCCCTGGTGATCAAACCTCTATCTAGTCCAGGACTACTTTTATAGTGCCAGTCAAATCCCTGGAAACTCCCCGTCATCTGTTCACCTTCCCAGTGGCGGCCACAGGACGAGCTGGCAGTTAATGTTTCTCCGTATTACTAATAACTCCCTAGGCCATAAAAGACACACCCAGGAACTGTGACTCAGGGAGGAACCAAGACCTGAACTCAGGAGATGCAGTACAGAGCACCTCAGGAATTACTCTGCCCTAATTTTCACTAGACTTTTGCTTATATATCTTCTTGATTCGGTATTTCACAAGAGTAAGATTCATATCTAACAAAAGCAGCTAGCCTAGAATTAGGAAATGGCAAATAGCATTCTGGTTAAACATTTACATATTTGAGACTATCACAAGTAATAATTTATGGATATCTACCACTGAGTGGCTAGAAGAAAAATTACTTTAATGAAAGATGACTTTTTTTAAATAATTAGAGAGGATACTTTCATAAGAGGCATTCATAGTAATTAGAAATACATGCATATATTATCTTGGGAACACCTCTTGAGACAAAAATAATTACCTGGGAAAGTCTTGCTAGATGCTATCACACTTTACAAAGTTAACGCAAATGTATTTATGTCAACTATGTAGCGAAAAATAGAAAAGGGTAGAAAAAGGGCCCTTAAAAAAAATATGGCTCTAGTAGGGCACAAGAAAGATGTTACCAGCGCTTGGACTTCCCCAAAGGAAAATTCTCAAATAATAATATAAACAAACATACAAAAGACAAAAAAACAAAAACAAAAAAAAAGCAGAAGACGAGGGAAAAAAAAACCCCTCTAAACAACATCTAAGTGAAAACTGACAAAAATAAAATGAATCAATTAAAACAAATCAATGGATTTCTAAAATAAATAAATCTATGGATTTCTAATATGAAGATTATATTCTGCTTTAAGAAGCAGAATAATTTAAAGATTATATTACTTAAGATATAAACTTTGAAGATTAAGAAACAGAACCTCACTTAAACTGGAGTTGGGGGGGCCTGTGGGGGAGCTCTGTGCGCTACCTCTCTCTGTCAAACCCCCTCTCCAGCAGGAAGGTGTTTGTTTACAGCTACTTCAGCAGGAAGGAGGATATTCTCCTCACCCAGCAACCATTCAGCCAATGAAATACTTTATAATTCAGCCAGTGAAAAGCCACTACGTTTCAAAATTCTCATTTTCCTCCAGTGGACTCTGTTTATAACATCCCCTCTGAATCTCCCCTTTCTTCTATAAAAAACGTTTGTCTGCTTTCTTCTCTGGACTTGTGCATGGTTTGCCATTAGACCACACCTCCCAAATTGCTATTCAGTTTTGTTCCTGAATAAACCTACTATTTTTGCAGGGAGAAATATTTAGCTATTTGTTTAAGGTCAAGAAATCAAATGCATATAAATTAAGTGAAATTCAAAAACAAAATATTTCCAGTAAAGATAAACAAGATATAGTATAATTTTTATTTATTTTTGCCAGGGACTTGAAGGTAAACTTGGTGATTATGACCAGACTTCAGATGTTTTAACTATTAAAAAAATTGCTTTTGGATTCTTTTAATTATTTTAACACTTTTCAATAATATGACATTTATATTCATAAGTACTTTATCTCAGTTGCACAAGAAAAATGAAAATTAATTTAAATTTTTCGGAGTGGCTTTCTGGGTTCTCTTTGATGGTTTCTAGCCCTGCTTGTTTGGCCTAATATTTCCATAGAGTTTCATAATCATTACAAAAAAAAAAAAAAAAATCCCTGAGAGATTTGGAGGCATAAAACTTTCTTCTACCTATTAAAATATACATTATTCACTTTCTGGAATACAAAAAGATCATCTTGTTTATAATTCCATGACAATTCATTGACAGTTACCAACAAAGAGAAGTTGGTGTCTGAAAACAGTTCAAAATCAGAAAGTTTATCCTGATAACTAATAAGCTTTCACTGATTTTGAGGATTATAAGAAACTGATTCATCTGCTGAGTAAATGATAATCATGAAAACCATACTTAATCTTTAAAAAGTGTCTGACAAGCTTTTATTTCATAATAATATTTATTCTTATTTTAAAAGTTCTCAGGGGCTTTGACTAGTATTAGCTAAATAGTATAAAATCTTGCAAAACATTTTCATTTCTGGAGCCAAATATCTTTAAATAAACAGTGACATAGGAAGAAATTTCCAAAATACTTCAGAAATATATATTCAATGCATATATACAGCTCATTCAACCTCAATGTTTATTGCAACTGGAGAGAAACTAACACATTCTTCAATGCTTTGGGGAAAAAAGAAAACACCTGTTATTAGATATGATTTATATTCAATTGCAACATATGCAATTTACAAGTCTCAAATAGCTCTCTTTCTTTGAATTCATCTTGGATATGTATACACAAATTGAATAAAGGTAAAAAAATTCTCTTTCTTATTTTATGTCACTTTGATTTTGTGTAAGAAGCATAATATGACACTACTGTTTTAACAGTATGGACTTTAAGTTCCTTAGCTTGTTAATGCATGTGGGGGTTCCCAGCAGACAAAGAACAGGCAAAGATTATTACTTTTACAGTCTCTCTAAATAAATAGCTGCCACATTAAAAAGAAAAATATAACAAATAGCCATGACTAACGTTCAGTTTCCAGTTAGTGCTAGCACAAGAACTGATGATACCTCCTGAATTTCATTTTGCATCACAGAAATGTGATGCCCCATAGGACACTGGCTGTGGTACAGGCTGATGATTTCATAACTAATGTTTACTATAATAATAATATTCATCTTCACTAATGCATTTTTTTAATTTTCAGTTAATGACACAGTGGTTCAAAAATATCTTGTGTCTCCAAACAGAAATTAGCAAATGTTGGTACTTGGTATTTGTTATTTTACCTTTACAAGGACTCGTATATATTCCTCACTTTTATTTTGTTGTTTTACAAAATACAATTGTATAATTTGTTCACAGAGCACAGGATAGTCCAGTTTTAAAAATACTCATGGTTCCATTCAGGAAATTGAACTGACAGTTCAATTCATTCAATAAAAGTTTGGACATCAACCATGTGCCTGATTCTATAGCTAATTTTTAACAACTGAAATAGATTAGTGTTTTCTTTAATGTAATCCTGCTAAAGGAGTTAACACAGCCTAAAAGTCAGGTTATTTGAGCTAAAGAGGTTTGGGGGGAAAAAACCCTTACTTTTGTAAAGCCTACATTTGACTAGCCTCAGATCATTGTGTCTCGCTAATATGATTGTGAGATTTTTCAGTTACTTGCCTTACAATCTACCACATTGCTATAGATTTCAAGGCTCTTGTATTTCTGTATTCCATAAATGCAAGCTTTTCAAGCATTTCTTGTTGACATGAAAGAAAGCAGCTTCATGTATGTGTACATCCTAAGGTTCCTTTTAGATTTAAACTTCTATATTGTACAGTATCCATAATTAATAACTAGACACTTCATAGTTAAAAATCATAGCTTTTTGTTCATATATTTTAAAACTCTAGGTTGAGCTCCATAAACAGCTTAGGCAATTTTGTTAGAGTCTCCAAAGCACCTATCATGGCACTGAGTACGTAGATAAGTCTCAATAATTTTTATTTAATTGATTAAAAAAATTTCTACCATTTAATATGAGCTTTAAAATAATATTTCTGAGATTTATAACCCTACCTAAATATTTAAGAAAGAACACTGAGGCCCCAAAATGGCAAGTAACTCAGGACCTTCCTTCATAATTTTATATTATTATGCCTCATTTTATATTGTTTCCATACAACTCAAGATAAAAACGTAAATCTATGATTTATTTAAAGTATAAACTATACCCAGAGCAAAAATTAAGGCTCAGTCCTGTTGAGAACAAAGAAAATTTCAGCAGATTTACCAACAACATATTTTCTTTCAGACATTAAGGAAAATGTAGGTGCTCTGAACTTATAAATATGTCAAATCATTTCATTCACAGTCCCCACACCTTAGCCTTCATGGACATAAGGTCTCTTGGGTGTATGTACAATACTATATATCAAGAGAATGAAATCTCCACCATTAGCAGGGACTTCACAACTCTCTCAAATATATGCAAGATAGGGAAGGTACAATCTTCCTATATACCCATGTGTATATTTCTTGAAAATATTAGGCATGGTCAATACATGTAGAGATTATTCTAACATACATGTTATATTATTCTGATGCTTTTCCACACATTTCAATTTTCTGTTTAGAAATAGAAATAGTATTACCTTTCTGGCTTCTTTTATCATCTTCCGAATAGTTTCCTTAATTGTAAGTAGTTGTGCTCTTGGTGGATGGAAGAGGAGGTCTATGTGGGTACCCCCTAACAGTCCGGGCATCACATATGGCCAGCCTAAGTCAAGATCTGGAGCTTCCACGTCAGACTCAATGGGCCAGTAAGTCCCTGAGGATGAGGTATCATCACAGGAATTATCAGTGCCATGTACTGTACTTTGTGCAATTTTCTGGACATTTTTCAAAATATAATTAATTTCTTCCTCAGCCAGAAAATCCGATACTCGTTCCTTGACAAGAAATTCATGGTATGCTTCTAACCCATGTTCAATCAGTGTATCAATGGCTACCCGGTACCATTCCTTGTAGTGAGGTTCAATGTAATTGTCTGATTTACACTCATCATTCAGCGAGGAGAGCATTGATGAAGTCTCCATGCTTGTAAGTGTTTGACAGCAGCACTTTCAAATGCCCATTTGTGCAGCAACGAGAAGTATCTGGGTGTTTGGAAAAAAAAAAAAAGAAAGAAAATTAAGATCAGTTAGAATTCTATAATCAAATGTTTTATAATCCATGTCAACCACTATTTTTACATTTACTCATTTCCACTACCACTATTTTTACATTTACTCATTTCCACTACCTGTAGATCAGAATGACATACATTGCATATCAAAAGTGGCATTAATTGCACCATAATTCAAAAACTACCACATGAAGATTTCCTTTCACAGACTAGTAGTTGATTTCTCATTTCCAAGGCCTCTACTTTCAGCTTCTCACCTAAGGAAATACACTTTCCTTCTTTGACATCCAGGAAGTCTATCCTTCCTAACTCTAATCTGGTACTACACATGGTGGTATTAGTTTCTATAAGCTTATTTGATTTTGGTTTTAAAATATTAAGAAATAGAATTAGAATGCAATCAGTACCTGGCCAGCCACTGATATTAGTCTTTACTGAGTACCTTTTATGCATAAAATCACATAGTGATGAAACATAAAAAGCACAGAACACTTGCTTTACCGGGATTTATTAATTAGCTAAACAGGCAAAATGCACACAACAAAACTGCTTATTACCACTTTAAACAAAGCCATTTATTGCCAAGGGCCAAATGAGTACTGCCTGCCGCCAATGCTTTCAGATAAAAGCAAGCAGAAATCAATACAGAATAAAGGAGTTATGGATATCCCTGTGCAGGAGCAGGGCTTCAGCTGAACCTGGGGTGGTGAGTGAGAATATAATCAGGTGGCCAGCATGAATATTTTCATCCCACACAAGAGTGAAAACCAAACAAAAGCACAAAACAGGTATGAGCTTGTACATTCGGGACTTGCGAAAAAACTTGGTCTGCCAGAAAGCAGGTTCCTTTCAGCAGGAGTACGAGATAACGCTGAATAGACACAATGGAGCCAGGTGTAGAGGGACACAGATTTGTGATTCAGCAAAACTTGTGTTTAAAACAATTAGTCTGGCAGCATCAGGGGAATGGAGGAGAGACAAGCAGCTAAGAGAGTCTTTCAGCGTTCAAATACCCAGTGAAGAAGTGACAACTGTATTTGAGAGACGGTACAAAGAAAGAATTCCTGAAATCTGATGGCTTGACAGCATACAGGTGAAGAAATTTAAGACATTAAGATAATTAGGGATCTCTCTGAGGAATCAAAATCTGCCTATTCAAGCTTACAACCCATCCTTCACAATGCCCCACAATGTTATTCATTCAATCACTCACTGTGTGGGATACTGAACTGGACTTTATCTCAAATAAGCGACTTTCCAGCCTTTTGAAATCATGATCTCCACTATATGGGTTCAAATAAAGTACAAACTCCATGATGTGCTACAAGTACTAAAGGACCAATTTAACCAAAAACGTATTTGTCAGTGGTCTGGCCTTATTTTAAATGTTCCACTTAACTCAGCCTTTTCAGACTAAAGCCTACCAAAATCCAAATCCTATTTGGGAGGGTAATCCAGGAACCATTACAATTTATTCACTCCTTAGCTCTAAATATGTAATAGGGGCCGCTAATCATACAAAGAAGTTGAAAAGGAATGGACAATAGGGAAACAAGTTTTGCTGGGCAGGAAGGGACCAGAAAAGATCCAGCATATGCTAAGCAGAACTGAGGAGCAAAATAAAGAATCTACTTTCGTATTTTAATGGAGACAATCCTGTCCCCATCTGTACGCTCAGAATTTTCACTGACAGTCTAAAAGTAGAGAGAGCCTAAAGATTAAATCTGATATAATAAAGAGAGAACATGTGTATGCTACTGGCGTGTAGTGTGTAGTGTGCAGAGGCCAGCGACGCTGCTAAATATCCTTTAGCATAAGGGACAGAACTCACATGAAGGAATTATCTGGCCCAAAATGTCATGAGTGCCAGGGCTGAGAAAACTTCACCTTGCTCACTTCATATGCACGGTATCATACTACTACTGAATGACCTTTTCAATGTTCATTAAAGTTATCTTTTACATGTTATACTTTGTTACCATTTGTAACAGAAAAAAGGCTTTCATCTACTTAACATAATCAATCCATTTGATTAAAGAATCCTTCCCTAAGGTTTAGTAACATGTCATTTTCATTTGGTAATTTCAGCACATGACAGGACAAGGATCCAGTGATCACATGAAAATCACACTTATTATTTGTAGTTGTTAAGAAATGGTAGTTAACTGCTGGTTGTTCAAAAAGAAATCTTGTTTCCTTAGCACTTATTTCTTAATGTTTAAAATTTAACATTTGAATTCCCATAAGATGTGATATTAAAAACCTATTACCTATTTGGAAGTTAAAATGCATAAAGTACTTTTAAAAACTGTATTGTTTTCTGAGCTTCATCGGTGCTAATATACACTTAGCTATTGTTAAAAAAATCTTCCTTGAACTACAGATGACCTGAGAAATCATAGAAATCAAGAGAACCTATGAAAGCAAAAGAAACCCACAAAGACATACTTGGAAAGTTAATCGCAAAAGAAACAATTGAAAATGAGAAAAAAAGTGAAATACCATAGAACTAACCAAACAGCAATGCCAGATACAATGATACAATGTCAAAAAACACATGACAGAAAAAATGCAATAGCCTTGAGCACAAAAGTTGAGATAATACGTACAAGGGTTAAGATAAGAAATAAATACACTTGATATTGTTCTCCTGAAGAAGCAATACTCTAACCACCATCTAGAGATATGCATTTATCACAAGGGCTGTTTTGGTGAAGGAGCAATCTACAAAGAAATTTTAAGGTAGAACAGCAAGGTAATGGCACTTGCATGAATGGGCACTGCAATATAGTAGCACCTGTATTTAGACACAGACTTAATCCTGAACTCTCAAGCATTCAAGTCACTGAACATTTGAAGGGCTTAATTGCAGATAAAATATTATTATGGGTAGGCCTTTATAAATATAAAAGCACATTATTTTATTAACAACCATTAAACATGCCCAGAATGTATATTAACATAGGCAAAGTTGATGAGTAGAGAAAAATAAAATCTTGCTATGATGTAAAAGCTGAACAAATTGCTAGGCTCATCTGCTAGTTAAGTGACTCATTCCAGAAAAATAGCCTTGTATAATAACAGACTCACATCCATGCCTCGTAACCATTACAAGTTGCATTTGATATTGAATGTTTACTGTCATTTTTGGAAAGTATAATTCCCAAATGTTAAATATGTAAATATAAATACTATGAAACAAGGTAAAAAAATTGTATTTCAAAACAGTTTGGCAGTTTCATTTATAAAACTAAATATGCAAATGGCTTATGGATACTACAATTGCTCTCTTGGGATTTATCCCAGAAAAATGAAAACTTAACTACACATAAAAACTGTCTATTAATGTTCATAGTGGCTTTATTCCTAATAGCCCCGACTGGAAGTAACTCAAATGTCCTTCAACAGGTGAATATTAAACCGTGTAGACTCATACTATGGAATACTAATCAGCAAAAACATGAACAAACTATTGGTGCACATTATAATGTAGATGAATATCCAGAGAATTATGCTGAATGAAAAAAAAATCCCCAAAGATTTTATGCTGCATGATTCCATTTATATAATATTCTTGAAATCATAAATATAGAAATGGAGATCAGATTAGTGGTTGTCAGGGTTCACCTCAATGAGTCATTGTAAGGAAGGTGTGTAGGAGGGAAGGTAAATATGTCTCTAAAAGGGCAACAGGAGCGACTTTTTTGTGGTGATGGAAATGTTCTGTATCTTGACAGTATTTATGTCAATGTATTGGTTGAGATATAATATTATAGTTTTGTCCTATGTAACTAGCAGGGGGAAATGAGTAAAGGATGCAAAGAATCCCTCTGAATTATTTCTCTCAACTGCCTGTGAATTGACGATAATCTCAAAATAGAAAAGTTTAATTAAAAAATCATACTGATGACCAATCTTATGTACCTTAAACAAAACAATAAACAGAATAGAGAGTGATAGCTTATTTGTAGGGTCAGACTGCCAGGTTCAAAGCCAATTTGCCTAATTATGGTGAAGCTCTTGGAAAGGTAACCTACGTCCAAAAGCCTCAGTTTGGTCTTGTGTAGAAAGAAGAATTAACAGCAGCCTTCACCTTACTGAGTCATTGTTAGGACTAAATGAGGTAAAGCACTTAAAGTACTTAGCTTTTAACATTATTATTATTATTGTTATTATTATTATACACTTAAACAAATAGTTGAAGTAAAATTACTATAAAGATACAAAAAAGTTTGATCGCAAATGTTTTTTAAGATGCAAAAAAGATTGCCATTCACTATTTCAGCAACTGCAGTACAAATCAACAGCCAAACCTAGTCAATTTGTTTGTGGCTTCTGATCTGAGATTCACTGAAAAGACTTCTGAAATTAATAAGTCAATAAAAGTGTTTCAAAGAGAAATTACAAGGTTCTAAAATCACAAAGAGTCTGAAGTTATAATTACTGTACTTAATTAACGTGCAAGCAGAAGATGCAAAGTCAAGACTTTGAAAGAAATACAAAAAGGATCATAGTTGCTAATACCTCTGAGGTCCCTTTTCCACCTTCTATCTTAGGCTGTTTCTATTTAACTATTGAACACTGTTATGGGTTGAACTGTGTCCTCCAACAAGGTATGTTCAAGTACAAATCCTGGGCACCAGTAAATGTAATCTTATTTGGAAATCGGGTCTTCTCTGTAGATGTAATCAAATTAAAATAAGGACATATTCAATTAGAGAGGAACCCAATCCAATATGACTGTCTTTATAAGGAGAGAGTTGACACAGACAAATACATAGGGATAAATCTAAGTGATCAGAGAGGTAGAGATTGGAACACTAAGGATTGTTGACAACATCAAAGCTAAGAGAAAGGCATGGAACAGATTCTTTCCTAGAGTCTTCAAAGAGGACATGGTCCTGATGACACCTTTGTTCAGGACCATGTACTAGGCTCTAGAACTATAAGAGAATAAATTTTGGGTTTTTT